GGAGTCCCCATCCCTGGAGGGATTTCAAAGCCGGGCAGAGGTGGTGCTGAGGGACATGGGTCAGTGGGGGTTGGGGCAGTGCTGGGTTGGTGGTTGGAGTCTCTGGAAGGTCCTTTCCAACCCGCACCATTCTGTGATTCTACAATTAGCACCTTTTCCTCTGACAAACCAGGCCCTGAAGCAATCAGTCAGGATATGTTTCTATAAAACAGGTCCCCACAGAAGCACCCACCTCAGCGACTCGCAGTTCCCAAGTTCAGGAGGCACCTGGAGGAGGTCGTTGTTCTGCAGGTCCAGTGTCCCCAGCCTGTCCATGCGCTTCAGCTGCAGGGGGTCTATGGAGCCCACCTGGTTGTTACTGAGCAGGATGGTCTCCAGCGCCAGGATGCGATAGAGGACACCAGGAAATGCTTTAAATCTTTAAGGAAAAGGAGGCAAAGCACTGAGAGTCAGAAATGGGGCGTTAAAAAATGAGCAGCCTTTAAAATCGGACATTTGAATCCCCATCCCTCCCTCCCTCCCTCCCAGTGGCTGCTTTAGGGGGGCTCCTGTTGGCTCCCACTCCTCGACACACTGTTCACAAGGCTCTTTGATCCCTCTTTTAACTGGCTTCCAAAACTTTTGTAGCAGGAAGTTCCAAAAACACCCCCCACTGCCTAAAGAAGTACATTCATTCATCTGTTTTAAGCTCACAGCCAGTCCACCGAGTGCCTCCTCATTCTTACACCACAGGAAAATCACTGAATTCAGCCCAGTTCTTTTGTTATTGTATATATAGAAAATCTAAACAGTTGCTCACCTGTTAAAAGAAAGATTTATCACTTGCAGTCCCGTCAGTGCCTCCATCTCCTCAGGCAAGGATGTCAAAAAATTATTTCTGTGCATCAAACGGAGACAAACAATGATCAGTGACCTCTGTGAAGCCTTGGGTAAGCATCTGCAGAGGTACTGTGGATGAGGGACACAAAAAGCCATCACAGGAAAATAAGGACCTTTCACTAGAAGGTGCCCAGACTTAGAGCTAAATTATTAACCACTGAGATATCTGACCTCGTTCCCTCATCAATCTCCCATTATCCCCCATTTCTGCAATCTTCAGCCTAATTCCTCCACCATCGGCACATACATCACTGCATCACAGGGGCTGAGGCTGGTGGGGACCTCTGGAGCTCCTCTGCTCCAGTCCCCTGGGGCAGGTGGCCCAGGACTATGTCCAGGAGAGTTCTGGGTATCTCCAAGGATGGAGACTCCACCAACTCCTTGGTGGTACTTGGTGACCCTCATAGTGAAGTGATTCCTGATGTCCAGAGGGATCCTCCTCTGTGTCACTTTGTACCTGTGGCCTCTGGCCCTGTCCCTGGGCACCACTGGGATGAGCCCAGCTCCATCCTCTCCGTCCCAGCAGGGCTTTGTACCCATGGATGAGACCCCCTGAGCCTGCTCTGCTTCACACTGAGCAGCCCCAGTTCTCCCAGCTTCTCCTCATGGGAGATGCTCCAGTCCCTTCTGCATCTCGGTGGCCCTTCACCGGACTCTGTCACACCACAGGCAGGTTACTTTAAATCAAATAAGTCTTTAAATAGCAATTTAACCCAGAACTGGACCCAGTGCTCCAGATGGGGCCTCCCCAGGGCAGAGCAGAGGGGCAGGATGACCTCCCTCCACCTGCTGGTCGTACTCTTCCTGATGCCCCCCAGGATGCCATTGGCCTCCTTGGCCACCAGGGCACATTGTTGGCTCCTGGGCATCCTGGTGTCCACCAGGACTCCCAGGCCTTTCTTCCCAGAGCTGCTCTCCAGCAGGTCAGCCCTGACCTGTCCTGGTGCAGGGGGTTATTCCTCCCCAGGTGCAGCACCCAACACTTGCCCTGGTTGAATTTCATCAGGTTCCTCTCTGCCCAACTCTCCAGCCTGTCCAGATCTCACTGGATGGTGAAAGGTACACTTTCATTTGTACTCCAGCCTGTCCAGGTCTCGCTGGATGGCGAAAGGTACACTTTCATTTGTGTGTGTGCACACATACATGGCACAAAGTGTAAGCATACCCGAGTATTAAAAACACAAGATGCTGAGGAACAGAAGCAGCAATAAAGTAAAAAGAGAGACATACCTTGGAGGGATCTGACTGAGCTGGTTTTTGCTGAAGTTGACAGTGGTGACAGGGTGGCTTCTGACGGCGTCGAACATCTCCTCGGGAACCACGGCTGCCTGCTTCTCACTGAACCAGGAAAATAATTTGGGTGAGTAACACCAACAAGATCACCATTTCCTATTTATTAACAAGAAGTTTCCGTCTTCTTTTAAAAAAAAGACAAGTAGTGAAATCAATATATAAATATCTACAGCTTGAGGAGCTTGGAGGGCTGCTCATCAGCAAGTTACCCATCGCTGCACCGTCCTTCACGGTGACAGCACCATTCCACACCCTGATCTCTCTGTAGGAAAAATCCCTGAGTGATGTCACTGTCTCAGCAAAGATGGGAACGCTGCAATCTGGGTAGCAAATTCAGCATGAAACAGATTTCCTTCTTTTGGCTCAGAAACATCCCACACAGAGCGATGTGTGACCAGGGGAACTGCATCTGGAGCTCCTCAACGTGTGGGGGGACCAAAGCCACCCCAGCCCTTTCACCAGTCACCTCCTCTCCACGGTCTCAGAAATAGGTTTTTCTTCCTCCTTCCCAACCTGACAAGGTATTTTAAGAAACATGTAGATGTGGCACTTCAGGGCATGCTCTGATGCCTGAGCTTGTTGGGTTTTGTCTGTCTGTGTGTGGGTGTGTGTGTGTTGGTTTGGGTTGGTTGGTTGGTTTTGGTTTTGGGGTTTTTTTTGTGGTTGGACTTGATGATCTCAAAGGTCCCTTCCAACCATGAATATTCTGTGATTCTGTGATGTTAGGCTGCTGGTTAGATTTAAGGAATAACTGAATCACCTACAACAAGATGTTTTGAGACTTAATGATAATTGCTAGAGAAGTTTAAAAGGTACTAAAAGCACCTGAAGGCATTAAGCATTTCAGCGAGTTAAAAAGAATGTTACTGCAGAGCATTTGATAATACAAAGAAATAATTAAAAAACCCTTGCAATTCAAATCTGGCTCCTCCTGAGCAGACAAATTAAAGTGAAAAAAGCACAAAAGCAGAAGGATTTGCAGTTTAGTATACATCATAGATTAATAATTTTTTTAAAAGCAAAAAATAAAAAAAAAAATATATACAGCTTTAGAAGCAGGTAATATTTCAAAACACATACCTATATTCCAGTAATTTTAGTGTAGTTATGGCATGCATGTTAATCCTTGACTCACTTGGAAGAGTCATGGCTGTCACAGGAGGCTCTCCATTTGGGTTAGTTACATCATCTAGAGATAATAAACGTATATTGTCACACAAACTGCAGTCAGCTGGGGTGCCCTGAACGGCCTGGGTGGGCAGGGTCGGTGTCCCCATCACCCTTCTCAGTTCTCCCTGTGTTTGGGCTCAATTGCATATTGATTATTCCAAGATTCAGATTATTTCCGAATTTTCAGATTCAGATTTCAAAATTCAGATTATTTCAAGAATTTTCTAGTAAGGGTTTTTTGTAATCTTGGGTTTCTGATTTGTTTGAGGGCTTTTCTTGGTTTTGTTCTTTTTTTTTTTAGGGAGGAGAGGGTTTGACTCAGATTTTGAAAAATGAGGTGAGGAAGTGACAGAGCTGTCACTGCCTGTTCCGTTGGGCTCCACGGGGCGGGGAGCTGGAAACGAGGACAAAAAGGGAAATTGAGTGAGCTGGAAAAGACGACCCAGCTCATCTACATCCAGAGCAGCAAATCTGACCACAACTGCAGCTGAAACATGAATATTTATAGACCTTCGTCGTAGCCTTCTCTGTAGAGTTTTTTGATTACTATCTACAATCCAAGACAAAGCTATTGGTGTTGCAAGGCTACTCTGAATGTTAAGAAATGCAGATTAAAAGCATTTTCCTGCCCATCTGAGGGACAGTGTCACACCCTGGGGACTTACAGACACACAGGGTGGTGCTGAGCTTCAAGTCCAAACACAGGACAAATCCAACTTCCACTAAAAAAATATCGAACAAATCTCTATGGAAATTCAGCAGCATTCATGAATAAAAGTCTACTAACAACTGCACCTCACTGCAGCAATCCCGTCGTTAAGAAAGGCCAAAAGGGTCAAAAACAAGCTAAAAATTTAAAAAAAAAAAAAAAAGAGTGGGCTTTCTCCAGTTTAAACCTCTACAGGAATAGGAGTGCTACCGGTTTAGCTCCAACTTAGATGCTGTAACAAGTAGAGTGCCATAGTAAGCACTGCTGTACATGCAAGACATCAGTTAATTTTATTATCCACAATTATATTATCTATTATACTTCACCAGATAAGCTTCTGAGTACGAACTCTAGCATCCAATTAATTTTTGTCAAGTTAATAGTAAGTCAGATTTGCATGGGACCTGACATTTTGAAGCAATTTTCCAGGCTGCAGTAACCTAATTAATACTGCCATCCTCTGGCAGACGGCAAGAAAACCCATGTCACAGAGACAGCAAAGATGGGAACGCTGCAATCTGGGTAGCAAACTCAGCATGAAACAGATTTCCTTCTTTTGGCTCAGAAACATCCCACACAGAGCGATGTGTGACCAGGGGAACTGCATCTGGAGCTCCTCAACGTGTGGGGGGACCAAAGCCACCCCAGCCCTTTCACCAGTCACCTCCTCTCCACGGTCTCAGAAATAGGTTTTTCTTCCTCCTTCCCAACCTGACAAGGTATTTTAAGAAACATGTAGATGTGGCACTTCAGGGCATGCTCTGATGCCTGAGCTTGTTGGGTTTTGTCTGTCTGTGTGTGGGTGTGTGTGTGTTGGTTTGGGTTGGTTGGTTGGTTTTGGTTTTGGGGTTTTTTTTGTGGTTGGACTTGATGATCTCAAAGGTCCCTTCCAACCATGAATATTCTGTGATTCTGTGATGTTAGGCTGCTGGTTAGATTTAAGGAATAACTGAATCACCTACAACAAGATGTTTTGAGACTTAATGATAATTGCTAGAGAAGTTTAAAAGGTACTAAAAGCACCTGAAGGCATTAAGCATTTCAGCGAGTTAAAAAGAATGTTACTGCAGAGCATTTGATAATACAAAGAAATAATTAAAAAACCCTTGCAATTCAAATCTGGCTCCTCCTGAGCAGACAAATTAAAGTGAAAAAAGCACAAAAGCAGAAGGATTTGCAGTTTAGTATACATCATAGATTAATAATTTTTTTAAAAGCAAAAAATAAAAAAAAAAATATATACAGCTTTAGAAGCAGGTAATATTTCAAAACACATACCTATATTCCAGTAATTTTAGTGTAGTTATGGCATGCATGTTAATCCTTGACTCACTTGGAAGAGTCATGGCTGTCACAGGAGGCTCTCCATTTGGGTTAGTTACATCATCTAGAGATAATAAACGTATATTGTCACACAAACTGCAGTCAGCTGGGGTGCCCTGAACGGCCTGGGTGGGCAGGGTCGGTGTCCCCATCACCCTTCTCAGTTCTCCCTGTGTTTGGGCTCAATTGCATATTGATTATTCCAAGATTCAGATTATTTCCGAATTTTCAGATTCAGATTTCAAAATTCAGATTATTTCAAGAATTTTCTAGTAAGGGTTTTTTGTAATCTTGGGTTTCTGATTTGTTTGAGGGCTTTTCTTGGTTTTGTTCTTTTTTTTTTTAGGGAGGAGAGGGTTTGACTCAGATTTTGAAAAATGAGGTGAGGAAGTGACAGAGCTGTCACTGCCTGTTCCGTTGGGCTCCACGGGGCGGGGAGCTGGAAACGAGGACAAAAAGGGAAATTGAGTGAGCTGGAAAAGACGACCCAGCTCATCTACATCCAGAGCAGCAAATCTGACCACAACTGCAGCTGAAACATGAATATTTATAGACCTTCGTCGTAGCCTTCTCTGTAGAGTTTTTTGATTACTATCTACAATCCAAGACAAAGCTATTGGTGTTGCAAGGCTTCTCTGAATGTTAAGAAATGCAGATTAAAAGCATTTTCCTGCCCATCTGAGGGACAGTGTCACACCCTGGGGACTTACAGACACACAGGGTGGTGCTGAGCTTCAAGTCCAAACACAGGACAAATCCAACTTCCACTAAAAAAATATCGAACAAATCTCTATGGAAATTCAGCAGCATTCATGAATAAAAGTCTACTAACAACTGCACCTCACTGCAGCAATCCCGTCGTTAAGAAAGGCCAAAAGGGTCAAAAACAAGCTAAAAATTTAAAAAAAAAAAAAAAAGAGTGGGCTTTCTCCAGTTTAAACCTCTACAGGAATAGGAGTGCTACCGGTTTAGCTCCAACTTAGATGCTGTAACAAGTAGAGTGCCATAGTAAGCACTGCTGTACATGCAAGACATCAGTTAATTTTATTATCCACAATTATATTATCTATTATACTTCACCAGATAAGCTTCTGAGTACGAACTCTAGCATCCAATTAATTTTTGTCAAGTTAATAGTAAGTCAGATTTGCATGGGACCTGACATTTTGAAGCAATTTTCCAGGCTGCAGTAACCTAATTAATACTGCCATCCTCTGGCAGACGGCGAGGAAACCCACGGCACAGAGGAAAACTCACACATGCCATTTTCAGTAAGAGTTGCTCCTGTGTATTATCCAATATTAAAGAGGTTAAGCATTTTTTGCCATTTAAGCGCAACATAATCATTTCCATATTATATTTATCATGACTAGTGAACTCGCTCATTTTGCCTAGTTTATCCTTTAGAACTTAAGATGTCAAGATTTCTAAAGATAGTTCACTGAAGTCCTGTTTGGATAGAATTTCATCTTCTCAGCATGCAAATTACTAAAACAGTCTGACAGCCTGTGTCCTATATACTAAAATATACAGTCATCTCCCTTATTTTGTTTAGGAAACAGAATAAAAAGGAAAAAAAAAAAACAGATGCCGAAGTATCTCAGTGAATTAGGAGCCATGGGATCAATTTGGAAAGTGACCTGAGTGCGTAGAAGCAACCAGCAACTTTTTGTCTGCTTTTTTAGTGTTATCCATCTATTTTTCCAAAGTGCTGTATCTGTCAGAGAAAGGTGATACAGTCATCGAAGTCAGCCTGAGCCAGAGCTCTGAGCCCAAGAGAGGGTTCTGCAAAAAACATACAGCATTGGGCAGAGAAGAAATCCCCTTGAAATATTCCATCTGATTTTCTGCTTTAGGACTTTTTAATTATTTCTATAGGGAATGTTGGGATTGAGACTATTAGATGGTAAAAATATGAATTATCACAGGCCAGGACTAGAATGAGGCTTAAAATAAATCAGTTACTTTTGCCCCCAAAACGTTTCACATTCTTAGTCACCATCCTAGTAGACCTTAAGCATCACCAAGGCTTTAAGGCAGAGTTTTTCATGTACTTTCTGGTAATCACAGGACTGTTCTGCCTGTGTTATTCCAGGAATGAGTAACACAGAACAGCTCTGCAAACCCTCACCTGCTCAGGCTCCCAGCGCAGGGACGGAGCCAGCAGGAGGGCAGGTGGGAAAGGAACCAGCCCTTCTGCAAACCTCCCATCGTGTTCAGGGGGAAAATAAAAAAGCTACTGGAATTCCTCATGTAAAATGCACAAAGGGACCAGGGGAAAAATACTTAAGATTATTAGATTATTTTTCTAACTGATAATCCTCAATAAGGAATGCTTGTTATGCAGTATTATCTAACAGAGTAAGAAAAAGCAACAGCACTGAAATGTAAGAGCAAACTGTTGAGTAAAGAAAACTCTGCTACTGCAGGTTAACTGGAGGGACCCGGATTTAAACAGCTACCCTTGCAGGCTCCAATTCATTTTAATTTCTCAGATTCTCTTTAAAACGCAATGCAGTAGAGCAACATACCTTGGATTTTGCTTCTTAGATATTTCAGCAGTTCCTGGGTGCCTTTCTTAAAAAGAAAAATAGAAAAGAAAAGGCAGTAAGGGTTTGGGTGCCAGGGTTTATACAGCTGTTTTCACAACAAAGAATGAGGATCCCAGTCAGGAGTGGGAACCCCAGCACTGGAGACGATCAAAGCCACCAAATGCTTCCTCTAGAAAACCCCCCTCTGCAGCAGCTTATGAACTCCCTTTTTTACACCTTTGTTCATCTATTCCAGCTGAAAATCTCCCACCCCGTACCACTGCCTCCCACTCCTCATCTTTAGCTTTTTATCTAAAGCTCTTAGCCAGTTCCCAGGGCAAGGAAAAATGTTCACATGAACTTAAATCTTCTCTTTAAAAAGGTCTAGCACAGCTGACTGTTCAGTGCTCTGCTAACTTTTTATGGCCAAAACTATAAACTCTGGGAAAAACACTGCAGTTTACATAATTCGCATGGATTTTTAACAGCCCAATTCTCCAAATATTTGACTTCCAACCCTCTCACAGCAACTTCTACTGGTCAAACTCAGTTACTATGAGCATAATTGATGAGTAATTAAACATAATCTCATCTAGCCCATTTGTTTTAGGATAAAGCTTGGTTTTCCTTATGGTTTTACACCCTTTTCCTTGATGCTTTAAAACCAGGGACTGAACTACCATGCTGAATATGAAAGCATTTCTCATTCCAGCTGATATCGATATAGAATTAGAACAATTAGAAACTGGCTGATCTGAACGCTGGGGGGATAAAAAAAATGTGGAAGTGGGAAAGGAAGGATCTCTCACAAGGAATCTGATGACAGAAACAGAAGAGACTGAGAAATAGAGGAGGAAGAGCCTGGGACATCTCAGGGAGGAGGAGTTCCTGGAATCCTTGTCCCTGTCATTCGCTACAGATGTGAAATGCACACAAGAAATTACACGCCTCTAAGCTTCTACCTTTGAAAGATAAAAATCCTCTGAAGCCACAGAATACCAGAGGTGAAGCAGCCCTGCAGCCCTCACTCACACTGCATGCACATTTTAAGCCAACTCTGAACTCTGGAAGTATAACACTACCCATATATACTGTCTGTGGTGCTTACTTGCAGAAGGTCCCTTCGAATGGTTCTCAAAGGATTCCCCTCCAAGGCCAGGAATTTCAGGTGAGGAAGGTTCCCCAGTGTGTAAGGCAACCTGCAAACAGAAACAACTCATTACAAATCCTGAAAACTCAAAACCAATTCTGAAGAATTCACAATGGTTTCCCAGATGGTCTGGTATTCTGAAGCTCAGGCTCGAGTAAAAAGATACAGAATATATTACTTTTAAGAAGGGCGTGGTTTGATCACAGCAGGTACGTAACACAGAAAGGGCTCCTTCATTTTATGATTGAGTCCTTTTTTAATTACATTTTACAAAGCGAAACACACCAACTCTACAATTAGTTGTCATTAGATGCCATTAGCTATGCCTCATCACAGACGGGATGCAGTTCTTAATATTACCTACTGATATCATTGTTGGCGAGGTCAAGTCGCTCCAGCTTCTGAAGCAGAGTGATTTCATCAGGAACTGATTTTATCTTGTTGTCTCTAAGTTCCAACACAGAGAGGGAATTCAGATGCTTCAGATTCTCTGCATTTAATATTTCAATCTGATTTTCACCAGCATGTAATTCCTACAGAAACAAAGATCACCTACAATTACGTTACTCTGGCAAAATTACTTTATAACTCACTGATCTCCTAAATCATGGCACTGGTAAAAACATACGGTGACATGGAGAAAATACAGATCTCGATTCTCCTTCACCTGCGTATGAAATATCAAGGCCTCCAAACATCCAGAGATGCTACAAAGTACTTGGAAGATCTCATTATGCTAAAAGGAAAAATTTAAAGTATACTTTCTCTGGAGTTACAAATAAAAAAATGATAGCGAACAAAGTAAATTTATCCAGAAAATGCTCCTAGTGACTATAAATAATGGTTGCAGGCAATATTAGATCTAGTTTTTCAGCCATTCCTCTTCTAAATATTTCTTTTCTTTTCCAAATCTGAAGAGTACAAACTGCAAACAGCAAACCTGTCTTCCAAATGACCTCAAGATTGACCAATGTGGACAATAAGATTAATTGCAAACGAGGATGTATTAAATAGAGTTCTACACGCAGAATTATAAACTTTTGATCAAAGCATTTCACAAAAATCTGTGTTTGAAGTAAGAGCTGTTGTTTTAAAGGTTACAGCAAATGCATTTACAATAGACCAACCGTTTCAAACCTCACCTTCAGTAATTTGCAGGAGGGAAATTCTGGTAAGGAACGTAATTTATTTTTTCTCAGATAAAGTTGTTCCAGAGACGCCATAGTCGCTAGTTTAGAAGGTACAGTTTCCAGGTAGTTTTTAGTACAGTCCAGCTGTCTTAAGCCTACAGAAGTAAGCATGCAAGTGACAAACAGAAAAAAAAGAAGTCAATTTCTACCGAATAAATAAATAGCCCACAAATAAAATGATAATAAATAAAAAGCCCATAAATATCCTGAGCTTTAAAATAAATAAAACAACATTTTCCCAATCAGAATTATTGAAGAAATCCAATCAGTTAGCATCACATGCCTGAAAACAAGGCATCTGCTTTTCATTTGCTCTTCACAGGACCCCTGGCACGCTTTCAGTGACACTGCCAGACCCTGGCTCTTGTTTAGAGTGAGGGACTGGAGGGACAAGAAAGGGTCTAATACTGCAGACCAACTCGGACAGATCTGCAGGGAATTTTACAGCATTTATAAAAGCTGGCAGCCTACCACCTCTTCCTGTGCATCTGCCACAGCCATTACACCAGGTGGTTCCTATCAGCTGCAGTCAGATTGATATTTAGCATTGAAGTATTAGAATTCAATTTTATCACCCTCTAAGTTATTTTTTTCCCTCCAGTAACTTCAACTCTCCCTCATCTGTGCTTTATTTGCCACCCAATCCATGCAATAAAGAAAAAAATTGGCCAAATTGCTTATTGCAGTCTTAAGGCTAACAACCTCTAAGCACAACAACATTAATCCTTACACTTTTCTGATCACTATCAAGAAATATGAACCATAAGAGGACTCAAGTTTGATATACAGCAGCTGTAGCTGATTTTTTAAAATAATTCATAACTACCATTCTTGAGAATACAGTAACCCTTTAAAAATAGATTTTAAAAACCCAATATGCAGTACATTTCTGAACACAACTACAGAACTGGCTGTATGGCACTTCATAACCTGAGGGAACTCACTCACTTCTCATGGCGCTGATATCTGCAGGCAGGTCCTTGAGCTGATTACAAGCCAAATTGAGCCGCACCAAGTTAACGAGCAAAGCAAAACTTGTCGGAATGTCTGTGAGATGGTTGTTGGACACATCCTGAAAATTAAAAAAAGAAAGAGAGAGAGAGAGGTTAGAAATAGAGACGTTTAAAATATCCCCCGAGTACCACTACTGCAAAGTTAATTACTGGCAGAACATTAAAATTAGCTGGCTGACATCTTCAGTATCTCCCCGGTAAAAATATGAATGGAAGAAACAAGTCTCCCAGGACTGACAGATCACAAGGGATTGGATTTTTCTCAAAATATTTGGCAAACCAAGAACAAAACAAAAAAAAAACCCCTACCCTGCTATGTAATAACTGATAACCTACATAAGTCACCAGAATATTCACAGCGCTCTGCCATCTAAACTGCGGGATTTTTAATTAGCAGTAGCAAAACATGGATAAATCAGCCTTTCTGCACAAAGAAATATTTTTGAAAAAGTTGTAATTTACTAGTTCTTCTAAATGGACAAGCTGCCCAAATCCATCCGGCAAGCAACTCAGCTCGTTGTGCTGAAGGAGAAGGCTTCTCAAGTTTGACAACTGCATCACCTCCTCTGGGATACTTTTCAGCTTGTTGTGGCTGGTAGGAAAACATGGAACACAAAGGGAAAAACCAATTACCAGGTAGTTTTAAGAACAAAACTACATAAAGAACACTTCTGCTACATATGATGCTATCCAGAGCAGAGTTACAAATTAGTTATCTTTGCTTATTTGTTCAAGAATACTTCTAATCATCATCTGAATTTACAATATTCCAGCTGGATTTTACATTCGTTTTATTTAGTTCACACCCACAGCAGCAGCACAGCCTCTTCCACCTCCTGCACTTACAAAATGACTCCACTAAACAGAAAAACATGAGCTTTCCAGCATGAATAAGATCTATATCATTATTTCCGATATAACATTATTCATGAAAAAACATATTTTTGTTCTTTTAAAACCAAATTGCCACATCGAATGTAGCACATGGATGAGGTACATAAATGTAGATACTACTTTTGTGTGATTATTCAAAATATCACTGTTTTCACCTTCCAAGCAAGACTGTGGTTCTGAGTATGAGTGAAAATAACTTCAACAAACCTAAGACCAGCAGTTTTGATCCCAAACTTACGATTCTCGATATACTAACATTCTTTAGAGAAAAATCTGAAAGTATTTTCTGAAAGAAAACGTGACATACTGCAATGTCTTATTCACACTGTGGAAGTCAATGCAATATTTCTCAGGTTCCAGTTTTGTAACATGTACTTACCTGACATCAAGTTTCTGAAGATTTTCTAATTGTCCTAAAGCCGAGGGAAGCGACGTCAGTTGATTGTCATGCACCTGGGAAACAAAGTTTTTAGAATACAGTTACTCATTTGTACCTTGTAGGGTTTTCTTTCCCTACCCTAGAAACAACTCAAGCTAACCTAATACACAGAATAATTTTGTACACAAGTAGCAGAAGAATTTTGTACACAAGTTCATGCCTCAATGCGATGACCAATAGCAGCCATGCAACTGCCAATCTGTCAAAATTCTCCCAAATTGATAAATGCTAAGAGATTAGAGATGAAAGGGAGAGTGTGTGCAGGAAAGGTGGTTGCCTCCTGTAACAACTCTTCCTTCAGTGTCCATAGAACTTCCTGGATCGTGGTACTTACATCCAGAACGGTGAGAGCAGGCAGAAGTTTGACATCCTCGGAAAGACACTGCAGTTTGTTTGAGGCGAGGATCAGCTTGGTCAGATCCGTCTGCTCCCACCAGCGATCCGCGGCACCAAAGGAGAGGTTCTGATGGGCTTCCTCTGGAGTATCCAAGTTTATCCGCCACACGTGTTGAGGCACTGCAAGCACAAACATGCACGTGTCAACTACATACTGATGACACACTCAAATTCTCCACTGTTGTAATGCTTTTCATATATAGAATCATAGATTGGTTTTGGTTGGAAGGGACCTTGAAGACGGTCTCATTCCACCCCCTGCCCTGGGCAGGGACACCTCCCACCACACCACGTTGCTCCAAGCCCCCTCCAACCTGCCCTTGAACCCCTCCAGGGATGGGGCAGCCACAGCTTCTCTGGCCAACCTGGGCCAGGCTCTCACCACCCTCCCACCAAACAAGTTCTTCCCCACAGCTCAGCTCCATCTCCCCTCTTTCAGGGTCCAACCCTTCCCCCTCCTCCTAGGGCTCCCCTCCCTCATCCAGAGTCCCTCCCCATCCCTCCTGCAGGCCCCATACAGCCAACTGGTTTTCTAGAGAACGTTTTTCCAGGGAGGACAGTAACAAGCTGATGGAAATCTGCCCAGTAACCGCCAAAACTAAGCTGAGCCGCGAAGAGGCGCAGGAAATACTCCTGATCCATAGAGCCACAGAATGGAATTACGGCTGCCCGGCCGCCCTGTTCCCCTGCCCGGCCCGGCCGGGTTACCCGGGGCCCACCGCCCGCTCCGATGGCAGCCGCCCCGCTCCCCCCGGGCCCCGCTCCCCGCACTCACCCTCGGTGAGGCCCCGGCCCGACA